TTCTTTTTGGAGCATGTGCATAATCCCGTTCAGACTTTGTCCTTAAATGTTCAGACCCTTTGTGAAAAAATCCTGACTTTTCATCCATTTTCCTTTCAAAAAAATGAAGATATCATTCCTACCAAAGCAACTCATTCAAGAATGAATCCAAATCATTTGATCTCGGCACAAAAGGAGTGCTCAGACTTACTACACCAGAAATTGATCGGGCCATCTGATTCTCAGTGGTCTTGTGAAGCATTATATGTGATTAAGCGTTTTGAGCAGAACAGAGGAAAATGGGGCTGGTCATCAATTACCAGTCACTCAGCCAATTCCTCCAAGATGATAAATTCCCATTACCCCACCGGAATTCGTTATTCTCCAGCCTTACTCAAGCTAAGGTCTATTCCAAATTTGACCTCAAAGCTAGATTCTGGCAATTGGGAATTCATCCAAATGACAGGCATAAAACTGGATTTTGCATCCCCAATCAGCACTTCCGGTGGACAATGCTTCCCTTTGGTCTTAAAACAGCTCCTTCATTGTTCTAGAAAACTATGTGCAAAATCTTCCAGCTTATTTTGGCAAATGCCCAAATTTACATTGATGATTTCCTCCTCTATTGCCCCCGATGAGGATTCTCATTGTAAATTGTTAAGCCAATTTGCTGAATTGGTCCAAAAATATGGCATTGTGCTATCCTAGAAAAAGATGATTATTGCCCAACGGGAAATTGAATTTCTCAGAATGCATCTTAAGAACGGGACATATTATCCTGGTCCTCATATTGCTGAAGAATTGCATAAATTTCCCAAGGAGAATATTTCTCTTAAACAGGTTCAACAGTTCCTTGGGATAGTCAACTATTTCAGAGACTTTGTTCCCAAAATCACTAATTTGGTGAGTCCACTGCAACAAATGCTAAAAAAGAATGCCTTTTCATGAGGACCTCAATAGACTAAATCCATCATAAGCCTTAAGGAAGTTTTGCAGCATCTTCCTCCTCTACAAATCCCTTCTATTGGGAAGAGAGTTCTGCAGACAGCAGACAGATGTCAGCGATGAATATTGGGCTGCCGTCCTACTCGAAGAAATTGATGGCAAATGTAAGATCTGTGGACACAAAAGTGGAAGATTTACGCAAAGTGAAATGCACTATCACTCTACCTTCAAGGAAATCTTGGCGGTAAAATATAGCATTAAGAAGTTTGAATTTCATCTCCTAGGACATCATTTTCTAGTGGAAGTAGATATGTCCTCATTCTCCCAAATGCTCAAATTCAAACAAAAGCAAATTCCTCATCCTCAACTCCCTAGATGGGCGGAATGGTTTTCCAAAAATTCCTTTGAAACCAAGCATATTGTAGGAAAAAAGAATGTGATTGCTGATTTCTTATCTAGGCCAAAAGAATTTGCTGCACCAGTTTCATCTATAAATATGTATGTATCCCGAAATCCGTTTGGTGGATACAAACATATCAAGATGAAACCTTCTTGGCCAAGTAAGCAGTACCCGCCAGAAGTTCCTGAATACATCCAGAACAACACCCTTTTTGAAAATTTGCCGTCATTATTGTGGAAATATCAATTGCTGATTTTCAGCAGGTTCGGAGGATTAAGTCTCAAACCCAATGGGCTATATCTAGAATATCCTTTCATCCATCCTATCTCCCTCAATCTTGAAAACGAATTCCAAGAGGAATTTAAGTGGTTTTATTGGTATTTGTTCAATTTTTATACCATAACCATTGAATTTTCAACAACCAGAATTATTGTCATTATTGGCAGAATTCTCTCGGGGGAAAAGAAGTTTAAGCATTTGGGTGATATGCTTAACTGGTTCAAACCATTAGGAGCTTGGAAATGCATGTTTCGGGAACAACTTAGAGCCTATAGACCCAATCCAGAATTGCATACAATAGTCCTATTTCACAGGCCATGGGTTTTTATTCGTCCAAATGGAGACATGAGCAAAACTCCATGTGATGTAGGAGTAACTACCTACAAACTTCAGCCAATTCCAGAAAAGTTTTTCAAAACCCTTCCATATAAAATCTCGATACTTCCCTAGGAATATAGAGAACTCCAGAGATTTCTATATCAATACAACCAAGTGATACCACCAGAAGTATGGCTAACTAGTTCTAGCGACGTGTCTTGGGATCATCCAGCTGATCACAAGTATCAGGTGATAATTGATATAGCATTGGGAAAATATTATGGCATAGATATGTAAGCTGATATGGATGTTGTTGTCGCTACCTTGGATCTTACTGCCTCATCCTCATCTCAAGAGGCATCGTCATCATCTCAAGATCCTCAATCACAGGATCTATGGGGAGGGCTATTATCACAAGACCCGTATGATTACAATGAGCTACAACTAGTACTCAGCCTAGGCCTTGACAAAAATAGTCCGTCACTACAAGTAGAAAATTTTTCCCAACCTGCTATTTCATCATGTCTTGCTAATATTGCCTCAAGCTCTACAAACGTTCCAGGTACTTTCTATGAGTCTTACTGGCAAAGACAATTGTCTTCGGAACTTCATGAAGATGTAGGCCTAGAGTTTGCGGAAATTGAACGAATTCTCAAGTTTTACAGGAAACAAAATGACGGAGATAGTTTGGACAGCTCTGATGATTACAACACTGAGGAACCCTTCCATAAATATGATCTTTGAAGCCTTGCCAAGTGTGTTGAAAAAATTAACTCGTTGTGTTTGAAAAATCAGCCCAATTTTCGAAAAGTATTGTTCATGTACTGTTCATGCACTATTCGACACTGTAGCAGTACTGTAGCAAGAAGAAAAACGTGTAGAAACAAAGAAAAATCGTCGTTTGAAAGTGTTTCAGTCGTCTGTTAGTTGTAAAAGTCTTTAAGTGTCACTTGTCAGTCTTTATTGTCGCTTGTCAAAGTTTTCTTTGCCGTCTGTTAGTTATAAAAGCCTTTATGGCCAGTTGAAAAGTGTCGAATTATTGGTGATTTTAAGAACTTCACCAATAATTAAGCTGTTTGTCTACTTTTGTGCCTATATATAAGGCAATGCTTGTAAAGTTCGGGGACATGATATGCTTCTCAAGAAATAAAACTTGTGTGCATTATGAGTCCTTGAATCTTCACTTCTACCTTTTTGCCTAGTATGGTTCTCTAAACAAATGTATGTGCGCTAATTAGTCCTGGTAGTATATTTTGCACTTGCCATGGTATGGAACTTGTGCGTCAAAATTTTGTTACTATAATGCAATTCTAAGGTGCGAATCAAAATTCCAAGAGAGGCTTGGTGGCTAAAAGGCAGTCCCTTTTATAAAGGCCTTGGCTTCCTTGATTTGCATCTTAGCCTTCCTTATAATAGGTTTAGGACTTTTTGGACAATTTTCTCATAACTGCCTCTAGTAGCTTTAGCTCATTACTTCTCACTAGGGGTGAGCATTGTCCAGGTGGGCGGTTCCCACCCTAGAACTGGGAACCGTCCACTAAGGACCGATTCCGAAAAATTGAAATTGGGAACCGTCCATTGGTTCCATGGACACACCCGGGAACCGGATCGGTCGGTCCGGTTCCCGGGTGGGTCCATGGAACCGATTCCACTAGCTAAGGACGGAGACGAAAAAACGGAGATGGAGAGTCGAAGATGGTGAGGTGAGCATTGACCGTGAAGGGTGAGAGAGTGAGAGTGAGCATGAGGCGAAAGCGAAAGAAGGTATTTCTTGGCTCAATGTGAGGCTGTAAATGTTGAGCAAGTTAGGTTTAGTTTAAGGATTTAGGAATTTTATTTTTTTAAATTAAAAAATAAATAAATATATTATATTTATTGTTATATTACCGGTCCTGCCCAGGTGGGCGGGCGGGCGAGCAGTTCTATGCCTGGAACCGAAAACCAGACCGGTATCCATCGATTCCCAAAAATTGAAACCGGGAACCGAACCAGTTCCCTTAGGAACCACTGGTTCCGATCCGGTTCCGAGCGGTCTCGAGCGATTTTCGATTCTTTTGCACATCCCTACTTCTCATGTAAAGATTTGCATAACATTGCATCTATATATTAGATCTGCATAATTACAAAAAATCCATTGACATAGAACAAGCACGTAATGTCTGTTTCACATTTTATTTTTTGGGCGGGGGGAGCTCTTTTGTAGTAGCACTACCAATATGAGATGTGTCTGAACATTTTTTTATTGGTTTAAAGTACCTAACCTAAGCTAAATTATTGTAAGCAGAAAAGATTGGCTGAAATAAGACCAAAAAGGACCATGCTCGAACTCGATTGTCACTCTCTCTAAATTCAAAAAATTGTGGCTGGAGGATCTCCTCCGTAATTCTCAAGAATGACAGTGACCGTTAGCCTAGCGGCGCTCTATAAAAAATTATGACTTGTTTGATGGGAGATTGGGTTTTGTCCTCACTCATTTCTTCCGCTTAAAAAACAATAACTATTCTCTTAAGGCAGCTCTCAATCTATTATTATTATTATTTTTTAATCTTTCTATATATTTATTCGATTCTACACGCGCGCATAGAGCTGCTCAACTCTGTCATGCATAATTAACACCCTTCAATAGGAGGAAAAATGCCACGCAATTGCAATAGTAAATTGTTGGCCGCCGTGAACGGATCCTGAGAACACCATAGCTAGAAACTAGAAATACAGTAATGAATTCAATGGATTTGTGCATCCGATTTGAAATTCATCGTTCTTGATGAGAAATGACGACAATTCAAAGCGCAAGTGCTTCTTCTCAATTACCCTCTGAATCACTAGCTCAATGAGATTGCCCTTCATGACGCAATTCTGTAACTACTCTTTATGCGAGTTTGTTTTGTGCATCAGGGTTAGAGGAGGAATTTCAGCTTTATTTATAGAGTTTACAGCCATGTCCTCTCATCACGGGTCGGACTCAACTCGGCCCATATAAGTCAAGTTCATATTAGACTAATTAAGAACATTTATATCTTACCTTATTAGATCAAGCCTGTAAAACGGTAAATTATAATCTCAATTAATGTAGTCCACATAAAAAAAAAACTCTTAACATAAATCACACTCTCCCAATATAAATCTTGCACAAAAAACCTATTGCCATAGCCAAATGATCCTCCACCTACTTCTTATTAACCTTTTGCTCTCAAAACACATACATAACCGAAAAAGAAACTATAAAAGTTCACACCAAATTAAAACCCACATTTTTCCACGAGACTTCTAATTAATCACATTACATTTCTTCCGGATCTCGCCATCGCTCCCCGTGAGCACCTCAACCGCGCCCATCCGCTTCATCGACTGGCCGAACTCGGTGAAGAAGGAGTCCTGGTCTACCAACTCGTCGACGATCTTGCTCGACTCCTCGTCGGTCAGGAGTGCTGCGTCGGATTGGAAGAGGCCCTGTTTTTGGTTCAAGGCTGTGTAGTAGTGGCTGTCGAAGGAGAGGGAGCTCCCGGGGTCCATCGCGACGGTGGTGGTGGTGTCGGAGAGCGTCTTGCACTGGGCCTTCAGTTGGGAGGCGTAGGTTGGGTTGAGGGAAGGGTCTTGGTCTCCTTTGCCGGTGAAGTTGTAGAGCCTGTTGCTGAAGAAGTTGCAGTGCCCGACCCCAATTGTGTGCCCACCTGATGACCAGATATCCAGCATACTTCATTAATTAACTAATCAATTCATCTTCTCTTCTAATTTTGATTAGTGATTACTTTGTCCTCGTGTAATGTCAAGTGAATGTCCAAGTCTGTGTCTTGCTCATATCGAGAAAAGCTTGGGTGTTTTCCATGGTGTGTTTTTCTTTCACTTGAAAGAAACCAAAATCTACATAAATATGAAATTTTGAAACCAATCTTCGCCCACGAATATCGTGCTCCGGTTGCCCATTCCATATAAAATAGAATGTGTGGTCCAACTTACACCGTTACTAATTAATAGCAACGGCATATGTTAAGCAACCAAATAAAAGAATTGTTTGTAATGATCCTCTGTTACACCTGAACAAAAGAGTTCGAATAATTTTGCCGTGGACTTCAATGCTAGAATACTTTGTTTTGTTTTAAAAAAAAAAGGGGGTTTCTATTTTATATTTTTTAGAGATAAAAAACCTGGTACAATTATTGTGTATTTTTACATAATTTTTTTTTACAAAAAGATAGGTATCGTAGAGCAGAATATTGACTTACTAGACATTATTACCTACCCAAGATAACATGGCTAATTTTGACCATATGAAACGTGATTCGTTTGTTTAATAATGTACCTGATAAGACAACAAGGTCATGGAGAGTGAGGCTCTTGTTGGCAAAAGATTGCTTGAGAGATGTGAAGTTGAAAAATGGAGAAGGAATATTGGAAAGTGCTTCTGATTGGCGGGAGATTCTCCCATCTCTTCTTCCTGTCAACACCTCCCACATCGACTTTTGGAACTGCAAAATCACAATTGATTGGTGCAATAATGTGAGCTCCAACAAAAATGTCAAATTAATGTAAATCGTGATATAAATCCCACTATTAGTGGGAGTTTTCAACAGCCAGAAGCAAGAGAAAACTTTAATTTTGGAAAAAAAAATTATAATTTCAAAAGAAAAGATGTAGATTTGTTTCTAAAGTTGATTGAAGTTACTGAACTTTTTCATAGTACCGTGCCGTGATACATTTTGTAGAAGCAAAAAGCATTCAATTGGATTACGATAAGTTAGGATGTCTATATATTTTTTATTATCTACCTATAGATTGATGACGAATCGAAATATGGTTTGGGCCGATGTACCTGTGGGGTCGAAAATAGTATCAAAAAAGACAGATGAACTTTAGCTAGATAGCCTAGTGTCGCCATTGGATGGTCCAAAAGCTTTTTCCACGATAGTTTTTGCTCAAGGGCACGTGTGAAAGGAGTGTTGATGAGGTTATCAAAATTCTACTAACTCACATTGAAAAGTTTAACGTACCGAAACAAACTCAAGTTTTCATCACCCCGAAAGTCTTACTTGGAAAGAGACAGAGTCTCTAGCAGCTAAGGCTACGATGTCGGCACAGGAGACGACGCATGGGCATGTTTCCTCCAGCTTCTCCTTGATCTCGTCTATCACGTCGAACCCCGTTAGCGACTGGTTCGGAACGGCCGCCTTCTCCGCCTTGTTGTTTGCCGTCGAGTCCAGCAAAACCGAGCCGTCGCAGCCCTACACAGATGAAGTGATGCAATCAAACACAGATGAAATATTACCACTTGAAACTCTCCTTCTGCAACCATGCATGTAAGCATACATGTTTTACCTTGCGCGATGACATGGAACAATGAAATGATTCTTCTAAAAAATATATCCGTTCTCGGTGCAATCTAGACATAGCACGAGACTCGTGTATGCACAAAACTTGAGTATTTCATGAACAAATATATATGCTCTGGATGACCGTGTAGGACAGTAGATCAAAAGATGGTAATTCATGCACAAGGCGAGTTCACCGGCCCGTCACGCTCGCATGCATCCTTGAATGAAGGTGACTTTCATCGGGTCATACTATAGCCTCGTATAACTAGTTTTACTCACGCAAGTCAAGTGCATATAATTTCAATATCATCTTCTTTTTAGATGGAGAGATTGCCGATTGCCTAGTGAGAGAGTCCCAGCATAGGTGCGGCTTCGGGATTAATCTATGCATGGATGATATAGTGTGTGTATATACAAACGTACCCTGACGAAGCAATCGTGGAAGTGCATCCTCAAGAACTTGGCGGGCAAAGCCGAGTTGCTAGCGACATGCTTCCACGTGATATTCTGCACTATCTCCTCAGCGAGAGGACATGCGCTCTTGTAGAAATTCTTCCTTAAATCCCCTCCTTCTGAATCTCCTATGTGCCCAAAGAAGACAACTACAGTGATCGCCAACGCTAAGCTCATTGTATTCATCCTCTCTCTCTCTCTCTCTCTCTCTCTCTCTCTCTCTCTCTCTCTCTCTCTCTCTCTCTCTCTCTCTCTCTCTCTCAATCAATCAACTAGTAAGGCATGCATGTTCATGCATACTTTCATCCTTTATATAGGGGACCCAAAGGCAAAACAAAGCAACAGGGTTTCCATTTTTCGCAGGGTTCACTGATTACATCATTGTTATTTGCTAAAAAGGTGGGGAAGCAAGGTGAGATCACAAAGCAAGCAAAGCCCGATCATGGTCAAAAGAGCTTTAATTTGACTTGTCGTGTTGCTCCAAGTCTGCGGAGATACGAAGTGTATTTGGTTAAAGGGTGACCTAAACTACGATGGCTGGTTTGAAAAACTGGCGGTGCGAAAATCAGTGAAAAATGGCGATAGCGACTACGGTGGGACTATGCTACTAGGGCTTCTGGAAAACGACTCGCCGGGGATCGGAATTCCTTGTGGCAGGTGAAGAAAAATCCATCTTCCTGTTCAAAGACGCAGCATTTCAACGTTTCGTCCTTTTAAAATCTGCAAGTCGCCCATAAAAAGCTCGTGGTGACATGCATGGCTTCATATTCTTCGATGACATATATAACCTAATGGATGTTCTAGTTGGTGCCAACTGTGAATACCAAATCCCCTCCTAACAAGGTTGAATATGATCAGCACTGAAATGATGAGAAAATCCCCCATTCTTTTTGTTCCCCCGTCATTATCACACGTATTAGTTGCATCCGCCGGACCTCTCTTGCATGGATAACAACGGCAGTGCAGTATCAGGATAAATGACCCACCAGAAGCCGAGGTTTGGCAAGTCAAAGTTGACAGTATCTGCGAGGTCTCTAAGTGGTTTCCAGTACGATAGCCTTCTTTAAGAACACCGAATTTGTCATACAAATCATATATAAGTTTAGGGTCGTACACGACTTGACCGGAATACAATTGTAAAGAAAAAAAGTGTATCATGCTATATGTATACCAAAATGTGGAGACCATATAGCTCTCTCATCGTGCATTATCATATAGATCGGGCGCATTTTCATTTGAACAAGTAATGTCGGTCCAGGGTGAGGTTTCACCATTCAACGTCGCGCTCGGTAGAAAAGCAAAGGGAAAAATAACATAAATCTTCGATTTGGCAAAGACATGGGTAATTAATAAAAGTAAAACCCTACCTTTACTTTGCAATCTAAGCTCATAAGATATACTGAGACGACAATAAAGCAAGTAGCGACATGTAAGTGCAACATCCACGTCCGACGCTAGGTCATGTGTGAGAATATTAGAACATACTAAAGTCCCTCTCCTTGCCTTATGAATTAGGCTTAGCATACCCATTCTGACTTTCATCCCTCTCCTTACTTAATGAATTAGGACGAGCTGCTTTCACTCCTAGACTTGCTCAGAAAGAAAGAAAGTGAAGGAAGGGAATTTCACATTCACGCTACGACCCTAATGCTTTCGATCTCTTCATCACAGGATAGGCCACGACCAAGCGAATATCCTTTGCTCCGTTAAAAAGTAACACGTTCCCGGATATCCTCGTAGAAGGTGCGTAGCATTTATGCAGACAACGTATTGAAGTAATGAAAACACAACTCAGAGAACGTTAGACACCTTTTCAAATATAAAATTTTGATTAATTTGGATGCGTCACTTCGTCAAAACTGCTCTTATAGTGGTCAACTTGTCATAAATTAACAAAAGATCACAGAATTAATAAAAGACTAATCACAAAAACAACTTTCAAAATGTCACGAGGAACCTTAGGTTGAAAAAGGAAGTTCACCTTAATCGATACTTCTACTAGGCACAACTCATCTACCTAATTAATGAAGAACTTTTCGCCATTGTCGTCAATTTCTTTTGCAGACATGCCTATCGGATTGTTCACTGGACTGGAAACAGAGAACGTGGCCGCGGACATAACATAGTATCAACATCATGAAGCACGTATTTGGCAAATGGGAAGTCCCAAGCTCCTGCATTTTGGTGAAAGAAATTGATTCTCCGAAAGAATAATAGGAGGAATGCCATTGGTCGATTTCGCGGGAAGTAAATGGAACGAGAAGGAACGGCGGCCAAATAGCCTTCTAGTCCATCCATGAATGACAACTGATGAGTGAGATTGCCTCGTGAAGGAAATTGATTCGACCTACTACAGCACAGTGCCAAAGTGTGTCGTACCTCTCATCTCAATCACGTAATATTTCCGTAAGAGCTGATAATTTTCAATTCATGATCAAATAAGCAGATTGGAAAGGCTTGCGCAATAACGTACCTAGACAACAAAGGGTGTGGCCCGATCAAAAAAAAAAAAAAAAAACAAAGGGTGTGGGTGTGGGAAATTCAGGCCATGTCATTAGATATTGCATCGGTTCACATCACGACCAAAACAGAACAGCAAATTTCATCCCACACGATGATAAATCGCTGCTTCTATTAAAATTCATCAAAACATGTCAACTCCGCGTCAATTTCGAGTTAACTTGTGTTGGTGTCTGTTCAATTTCTGAGTTTCTCTCAATAAGTTCGTGTCATGCTCGGGTATTACCCATTGTCGCTTCCCACCACAACACGCAGGATATCGTCACCCATTTTTACTTAGTTTAGAGAAACCTCATAAACGGAAGAAAATGGGGACAGCGAGAAAGAGAAAGATGTAGAAATATAAACAACTTTCGAAACGAAGAGGACTAAATAGGAACAACAGGGATCCACCAAAGAAGATCCTTCTACTTCTCTTTTTTCAAAAGAAGAAGGATCCACACAAAATCGATGAAAGGGAAGAGATTTGAGTGAATGAAAAGGAAAAGAACAAGGGATGAATTCAACTTTTGTGATCCACATAACAACATTCAGTTTTCTAACAAAGATAAATGAATCCAAATGACACATAAGAGTACCGTCCAATGAGAATGGCTTTCTTGCCCATTAATTAGAATGGATAGGCAGGTTAAACTCTTCCCTGCCAAATGGACTGTGGATTGGCACAATCTATTCCGTAAACAATTATGTGGTGTCCTTGGCTGAAGAAATTTGCCCATAAAATCTTCCACAGTTCAATAAACACCATAATATATCTACACTTAGCAATCTTTTCGTCTTTAGGAATGCTGAAAATTTAAGTAAAAGCTGCAGAAAATATAACAATCTAATTCCAGTAAAAGTTGGAGAATTCTTTTGCAATTCACTTCATTTTGATAGCAGCTTTAGAATCCATTTCATTGCAAAACAAGAAAGAATCAATTGAATGGTAGTCCTAAACAACACCCCCCCCCCCCCTTCTTGCATAATAAAGTGTTCTAGACAAATAAATAATTTCATTTGAACAACATGTGTGAACTCGGTACAGCATACTATGTACATAACACTGCATAGCTATAGTATCAAGCCAAGGCCACCATATGCAGGCGTTAGGACAGAAGAGGCTTACCCCTTCTATTTATGTTTGGCCACAGGAACAAAATTGTGACCATCTTTTTTAAGCCAAATCGTCGAGCGAGTTCTTTTAACATGATCTGCAAAGAGACGGTGCCTGCAATCATGTAAAGCAAGTATATTAGGAACACCAAAGTGAAAACTTGCTGTAGCATTCAAATACTCATTTCAAGCTCTCTAAAATTTGATAATTGATGTTCTGGCATAAGAACGACTTAAAACGGATTAAAAACAAGAATAAGTTAGAAGACAGATAATGGCCCCAGAGAATAATAATGATAAAGAAATTCTAAGACAGATGAAAAAACCACCCTCCAACTCTCTTGCACAAAAACATTTCATTTTTGTTCACAGTAGTACGTTCGAGGAAACTGACCTTTCATATTCCAGCTTTTGAGTAACTATCCCGTTCAGCAGTAGCTCTGAACTATATACTGTTACACCTGCATGTACAAGAGAACATGATCAAGTCTCTATATGTTGCAGTTTAAAGGGATAAAGACAGTACCCACAAAAAAAAAATCATCACTCTTGACCTTTCTCAAGGAAAGGAAGGCACATGTTGTAGTCGTCCTCACAGGATAAAATCAACAAATCATCTGCTAATTTATCATCTCTCAAAGCAGATCTTCCAATTCTCTCTACTGGCTGAAGTCATTCAAAAGTCAGAATAACATAAGAATTTGAACTGACATTACCGTGCTGTTAACAAAAAATGCTTCAGATAAGCTATGTACTACATACTTGGCCACCAACTGCTCTGACTAGACTTGATATTATGTCTTTACCAGGCTTTACATTTGAGGTGATCAAAACTCTTCGACCCTGCGGAGATACCGTTTTGAATGCGCTGACAAAATAACAATGATCCTATGATGACCTAGGTAAAGACGAATCAAACCTTACCAGTAAAAGTGGATGCTGGCATGCGCGTGCCAATGAAACAGGCATACTAAAGCCAAATTGCTTCTCCTTCTTGGCATCTCTTAGTATGTAATTTCTCTCATCGAGAAAGCAGTTAGCTTGTCCACAACTCTCAAGCCATAAATGGGTAACTACCGGCTTTCCAGAAGCAATTGCTTCTAACATATTTCTTGTACGCACAAATTTATCTGTTATGAAATGCGTGGCTTCAGCAATAGAAGACACTGCAGAAGCTCCTAGACGAGCCAAAATCTGTAGAAGAGAACCATGAGATACAGTTTAAACAAAATGTGATTCCTTGCTAAAAAAATCAGAAAATCACAGCTAATACCTTTTTCTGCTGCTTGATAATATCATCATCCAAGTGGTGGCTGTACAAGACACTAATGTCACTCATGTCTCTCCTCTTCCGCATATCCTTGTATGATGAAGAAGGTCGTGGTCCTGATGCATTTAAGCTCTTAATTTCGTTCCTGAGGTATGATCTTGAAAGGTTCTTCTTGCACGATGGATACATATAACCATTCCCCACACAAACCGGCGAAGCATCATTGAAGGGCGTTAAACAGTTAATAGGAGTAGTATGAGCTGAATTTCCATTACATTTTTCTCTTGGAGTATGACCTAACATGGCATTTGATTCTGTATTCTCAGTGGATGATGTGGCGCCCACATCTCCGTTTCTTTCAGACAGCCCAATCGCGTCAGTCATGTTTAAACCCTTAGCTAACGGTTCCCTATCCAACTTGAAAGAAGTGGTCTCGCTAGCGGCATTCTCTAGTCCTGATTCAAAATTTTGAGCTGGCAACTGTACTTCCAGATCACCCTTACTAGTAGCATCAGATTTCATCCGTTTTTGTCTAACAGACCTCTTGCCCCTTTCTACTGCAAGGACCTTCTCCGGTGAATTTCCTCTAGCCTTGACCATTGAATCATCATCACTTTTTTTGCTACTTCTTCCTTCTCGGGTGCTTCTTTTCCTTTTACAGACCCCAACATTCTCTGCACTCTCTGTTGCTTTCTTGTGGTTACTTAATAAACTTTCTGTCCTTTGCACTTGATTAACTGCCAAGGAAGATCTGGTTCGCCTAGCAATGGGTGTTAAGAAACCACCTTTGCCTAGTAATTGCTGCTTGCTGGCGAAAGTAACTCCATTCGCTGTTCTGGTGACATGTTGTTTAGCAAACTCACCAGCTTGGCGTCTTCTGAGAGATTCCCTGTTTTTATGCTGTAAGTTCTCGGAAGGCAATTTATTCAACTTTTCGCTCATATTGGCAGTAAGGCCAGTCATATCCAACATGTGAGTTCTTTGTCCCGGACTGCGGCACCTCTTCTTATCCTTAGAACGCTTCTGCAGTGAGATGGATGGCTTTTTACTTTGTTCATTATCATCTCTCTTTGTGCTTCTCAACTTTCTTGTAGAAATGCTGATGTCACAATTATCCTCCCTAGGAAGGGCCTCCCCCTGGCATAATTCTTCCATAGCCTCTGCAGCCAGTTGAGTGTCAAAGCCTACATTGAGCATGTCTGGCACACAAGCATCACCAGCAATTGCCCCCGAGTTGTCTCTTGAAGAATCTATCTTAGACTGTTCATCCAACTGGTTTGCAAGATCCCTTTTGAGATTCATTTCAGCCGCTTTGGCCACCATCTGACTTTTTCCACCCATTCTCCAAATTGCTTTTGAATCAGAATGAAGTACGCCATTTATTTTGCAGGGAGCACTTGATGGTTCGTCCCTTTCTCCATGACCATCTTGTTTTCTGTTTCTGTGCTTCCTGGGCAAGGTCACGGATCTGCACTTACTGCTCCCACCATCAAAGAAATCTTCCTTCCGCCTGCAGAAAATATCTCCACCACCCTCATCCTCGCGTCCATCATCCCAGTCAAAAACCTCTGCTCTTACAGTTATTCTACTTGCACTCTTGGCCAAATTCTGTGGCCCTTTTGCACTCGAGATTGATAATGGTTTTCTTCCAACAGTGTTTCCAAAGTCAAGCTCTTCATGAAGTTGCTCGGCATTGTCCTTCAGAAACCTGTCAACAAAATCAAGTGCGTTTGCCTGTGAAAGTTCTCCTGGTTCTTGCGATTCTACATAGCTTAATCCAGCAAGTTTGTCATTTCCAAGAGGAACTTCCTTCGAGTCAGCTGTCTCATCAGGCATATTGTCAACATCCTCTGCAAAGAGTCGTCTAACAGTGCAACTCCCAATTTTGCACTTCTTCCCATGTTCCATCTCCTCCGTCTTCTCAATAGAAGTCTCAGCATCACATTCCTGATCAAATTCTTCACCAGATTTAAGAGAAGCATCTCGGAAAGATGTCCCGTTATCTTCACCAGCCTGTTCTTCTGAAGACTGCCTCATGCTCCGGAGAGAACATGACGCACTGCTAGCACCATTCAGGTACATGCTGCGAGCAGCTAAACCAGATGCTCGGAGAGATGCTGCACGAATTGAAGTAAACCCCCTCCTGACAGAACCTGAGCAAGAGAAGAACAGGATAAAGAACAAGAAAGCAGTACAACAATTACAAGGCAGGAGCACTGACATACCATACGATTAACCATTATTAACAAACTAAAACATTAAGTTCGAAAGAAGAATAACTTCCTAATTTCCTAATCTGTATCACACTGACACAGATGATCAAGATCTGAAATGGCAGAAAACAACATAGGTGCACCATCATGGAAGTGAATAATTACTACAAAAAAGCTGCAACAGAACATTCATAGATTCAGTATTCAACCATGCTTATAAGGACCTAAGCCAGAAATTGGCATTTTGGAAATACAATTCCCTACTAAACAAAGAGAGTTAATCAGTCATCTTTACGGTCTCAAGAATACTATTTGACATTCCTGCAAAAAAGAATAAGAATAATATTTGACATGACACACCATAACAAGAAGTGATGCAGCAATGTGAATAATTCATTCAAAAGCGACAGCCAAGAATCTCAAAAACATGATTGTCATTCTTGGCAGGGATTAAATTCATTGCTAGACACAAATTTCAACTATGCGATTTGTTTTAAGAAAGAAAATAGCATGTAAGTTTTCCACACGAGAGCGAAAAACATACTGTTCACCACCAACGGTGCGGTACCTTCATACCATAGTGGTACAAGAGAAATAAAAGCAAAGCAACAACAGAATGTCAGACTCGAGAGGAAATGATAAACTCAGGAGAACACAAGACAGGGATAAAGTGGATTCATTGCTGTACTTGCATGTTTTCAAAGTGGGTGAGTACAAGATAATATATCTGAATGAGCATCCAATAAAAGATCTCCCTGCTACTAATGTTTCGTCAATCTTCACAATGATATGTTTCTTGGGATGATTTCCCAACCAACAAACAATCCATCCTATGCAATAAACAAAAATAAATCCACCTAGCAACTAGGCAGAAAAGACGGACATAAGTCGTTTGTATGGCTTACGAATATGATTAGACATTAAGCTCAGGTAGAATCTGAACAAGCTCACCTGAATTGCACGGTTCATCAGTTAAAGCAGCGGATTGCTCCCTGGCCTTGCTATCCTTGCTAAACGAACCGGGGGACATCCTCTCATCTCTAGAATAACCGCCTTTCCCGTGCGAACCACCACCTGATATCTCGTCATCAGAACCCAGGACTTCAGTTCCACCGGTATCTTCACTCTGACTATCAAAAACGACTTGAGTATCATATGCATCTAATAAGATCTGTGTCTCAACATTCCCAATGCCATCTTCGCAATCAACTACTTGAGTTTCACCGCCAAAATCGACCAATTGGGTCTCTCCACCCGTATCTAGGATCTGAGTCTCGAATGCGCCATCTAACGGGACAGTATCATCGAACCGCATCGTGCTTTCTACATAAAGCTCCTCATCCAAGGTCTCTCCTTTCATCGCGTCACCGCATTCTGTCAACGGCAACACAGCATATCAGAAAAGCTCGGACAACACCAACTACGGATAACACAATCGAAACAAATCATGCCGAAACACATTCACATGCAGACGTATCCCACTCATTTTATAAACTTTCTCTTTTCCTCCAGAACTAGGGAAAACCCTGCCAAACAAAATCCAACTGATTGATTGCGATCCTCCATACGATCGCAAAGACGCAAAAAAGATGTTTTTTTTCCCAGATATTGGTTGCAAAACTTAGAGAAATCCTGCCGAAACACATTCAAAATGCAAGAATCATCCCCAAAGTTGCAAAATTTCATATCTCCTCACAGTAATTTCACAGAACAGTCCGCAACCCACAAACGAAGGGGCTTCTCGGCTTACCAGGGGACGGATAGCGTGAGGATTCGCGATCGGTGGGCAGGGTTCCAGCCGCAACGGAATCGGAATTGGGGATCGCCGTATCGGGCTCTCCGCCATCGCCGCCGCCGCCGACGACGACGACCGAGGCCATTTCCTCCGCTTCAGCCGCAGGTACACGCCGGCGTCATCGGATTGGGCTCGCCACCGAGAACCACCGGAGGAATCAGTGGTCTGCGTTGATGGTCACTATGAGAGAGAGATAGAGAGAGAGAGAGAGAGAGAGAGAGAGGGATTAGGGTTTGGAGGGAAGTTGGAGGGAAAGTGAGAGTGGGAGGCGCTTTTGGAGGGAATGCTCCGTGCCCCCCTCACCATCGGATTCGCAAGTGCAAAAAGACCACCAGGACCATGAGCCGACCGGATCGGACCGGACCGGCCTGTTCAGGGTGATTTTGAGGGCGCACCGGTTTGGTTTTTGGTTCCGATCTTTTGGAATTGGTAATTTTCGATCCGATTTCCAATTTCCTGAGTGGAACCTCCCATTGGGACCGGACCGATATGCATACATCTCGCCTGAGTGGGAAAGTTCATTCAGTTTTTACCAAGGCTTGGTATCAAGCTGCTTTCCAATTTGTTTTTGGTGGGGTAGGGGGTTCATAATCAAGCTGCTTTTTCTTTTGAAACGTAGCATCTCGAGCATCAAATTAGATTGAATGCTGACGAATTTGTTCTGCTGAGTGCTAAGCTAAGCTTTGCTTGACCATGGCGCAGCACATGGAGTGTGGTCCAGCAATTTCAGGAAATTTTAATGGTGGGTTCACGGAAGAAAACCCACAAAGGAAATGTCACCCCAGAATGGAAATGAGTAGTTACAGAACACATTGAATGGAAAGAGAAAAAAGATACTAACAACCACAAATCACAAAATAAAAAAAGCATGTGACCGGTTCGGTCCGATTCTAGGACCTGGTGTGCCGGTTTCCTGTTCCAGGACCAGGTGAGCTAGTTCCCGATTCTTGGGTGAGAGCCCGACCATTTGTGAATTGATTATGCTAAGTAAAAACTGTATATGATATATTAATTATATATTAGTGGGAGAATCTCTGTGACAAAAATGGGCATTTGGTCTAGTGGTATGATTCTCGCTTAGGGTGCGAGAGGTCCCGAGTTCAATTCTCGGAATGCCCCTTTTCCTTCATTTTCCTTTTCCATGTCTTGTTTATTTATGTTATTTTATTGTTTCACTGAAGAATTTCTTTAACTTTCCCTACTGTTGTTTTTTTGTTTTGCTATTTACATGGGACGTCAAACAGCTTGTGTCAATAAAAAAAAAAACAGAAACGAAAGGAATTATTTTAAGATTTTCTACTCATTCTATTTTATATAATAAAAATCTTGAAGTAGCAGTTTGAACCAAGATTAGACCTGAGAGGGTCGCTGCACCCGGCTGCTTGGGGCCGGAGCAAGTAATTCGCCTCTCCTAATTACGGGTGAAACTGAATCAAGCTACTAGCAAGAAGTAGGGGGTGTACAAAACAAATCGCCCAAATCGAGAACTATCCGAACTGAATTGAATTGGCCAGTTGGGTCCAGTTCCCAAGAGTGTTGGTCCGGTTCCTAGTTCCTAAAAGTGGAACTGGTATCCGGGTGGTCCGGTTTCCGATTCCAAGGGGGAACCGGACTAACTACATATACTTTTTTTATTTTTTATTTCTTCAAAAAAATTAGTAAAATGTAAACTAAACCCTAAGTGAACTTCATTGACAAAAAATAGTAAAATGTGAACTAAACCCTACGCGACCGGTTCCTGGTTCTACCTTGGAACCGAACTGGACCGGGAATTGATCCCCCCTAGTGAGTAGTTCGGGCTTGATTGAATGGGTATTCGTGATTGACTCGTTTGATTTTGAGACAAGCTCGAGTTTGAGCTACTCTATTATTTTGTCGACTCAAGCTTTATCAGTTCTCAGCTCAATAGGCTCGTCAGCCTAATCGAGCTTATATTATTTTTGTAAAGAGATAATTAAAAGTAAATAAGATTATCCACAAAATTATACAACATACCCCTATCATTCGAGCTTTTTTAAGGTTGAGCTCAAGTATATTCGTAAATTGATTTCAGTTGAGTCAAGTTGAGTCGAGTATCTTGATTTTCTAGTTGAGTTAAGCTTGAAAGGAAAATCGTAATAATCCATCGAGTTCAAGTTGAGTTTCGAGCTCAACTTGATGCAAGTCAAGTCGAGCTCGAGCTCAGAACTGTATCGGCCTGACCCGACTTAATTACGCTTCTATTCCTAGGTGGGCATTGCAATTGTATTCTCGACCAATAAAGTAAGTTCCCACATCTACCCTACTAGCTAAACATCATCGAGTGATTGACTTATGGATGTTTTGGCATAACAAATTCATTTCTTTCTTCCATTTTTACACAAAAAAATAAGAATACGACGATATAAACAACCAAGTTATATAAAACCAGCGTATCGATACGCATTTTTTCTATTCGTAGACAAAATCTCAATTTGTCATTTTTGTACGTAATTTCTACTTACCAATCATAGTTTCATTCTACAATGTTCATAGTACTACAAGAATAGAACAGGGGAAGAGGTACATTAAAAGTTCCAAAGATTTTAAGGAAGTACATTTGAGTCCTGTGCATTTCTTTTTTTTCCTGTACATTTTACAAAGTCGAAGAAATTCTAACTCGATTCGTGCGATCTATGAGGGCGAGCTTGGCCGCTACTCATCATAAAATGGAAAGATCTGCCGGTCCAGTTTTCAGATTTCCAAATAGCCCATTGCCCTAAAGAGTCTAATAAATTAACAGATTGGATTGTCAAAACCCATAGATTTAAGGCCCTTCCTTACAATTGGATATCCATCCCATGGGACTAGCCATTGTCTTGTATTTGCGCTTTAAAAAAAAATGAAATGGATTCTACCGACCAAAGAAAAAATTTAAATCCTAACCTTTTGAACTTTATGCTATTATGCTCTAATCTCGTAATATTATCCAAGATTTCTATCACAACTATGCAAAATAACAAATGGGCTTCTGTCAAATATTGCTTCTATGACATGACTATGAGAATCAATAAGAAAAGAATGAAGTACAGATGTTAGCTAAACAAGGAAAAACCCACTTATTAAGGAAAACCACTTCTGACCAAAAAAAAAAAGGAAAACCATAAAAAATGACCTTTCAAATCCCGAATTATACATACCTTCTAAAACCTTACTACATAACGATAAAGGGTTTTGAGCTATCCTTCATGCCTCTTTCCCCGGCATAGCCTTGTTAAAATAAATCAAGTCTCGGAATCCAAGGCCTCCACGGTCCTTTCTAAATTTCAAGCATTCCCATTTCTTCCAATTTAAGTGGTCTTCTTCTCAATGGCTTTGCAAATAAATACTGGTATCTTGAAAATCGATATAGCATATTGGGAAAGAGTTTGTACCACCGCTTTAATCAAAATTTCCTTACCCGCTGAGGTACGAGCACTGATCGAAACCCTAATGTTCCTCAAGTCTCGATCCGAAGAGGAGATGGAAGTAGGAACATATCACGTCGATCTGATAAATTGTCTTTCAGACTCAGGGCAGATCACTTGGGAGCTGCATGTGCTTATCAGTGAAGCCCATAGTCTATTGAAGCCTTTCTCGAAGCTGAAAATGACCCATATAATAGAGTGGTTGATTGGGTTGTAAAAGCTCAAAGAAGAAAGTATTTATCGAGTAATTGGGTCCTCTATCCCCCCTCGGACCTTTGGGATTTAATTTGTTCCGAAGCTTATGGAATGTATTCACGAACTTTATCCTAGTAAATGAATATGTTTTGTCTGACCGAAAAGAAAATCCCAAATTAAATCAGCCAAAATTAACTGAAAAATGTTGATCATCGATCGATCATAGGTGCCTCGATTCATGCACGGGTTGCTCGTGAATGCCTTCATATACCGATTGAAATATAGATTTTGAACCTCAAATTTTTGGCAATTCGAATCCCTTACTTTAATATTTTTTATTGTTTGTATTATTCTGTTGTACTTAAACCAACGGGTCTTATTATTCTAGTGATGTTTTATACCTGTAGATGACTAAATAAACTTTTGATTAACTTTTCGTGGTTCAATCCAAAATTAAAGGGTTTCGCTGATATGAAGCATCCCGAGAATTGAAATTGAGAACTCTCACATCCGAGACCAGAATCATAATGGAAAATTGTCCAAAAAATCCTAAACATAGTACAATTTTTCCAATTCAGTTCTAAACCTTTTAATTATATCAATTGAGTTTTAAACATTTTTACGTTTTTCCAATTGAGTCCATCCGACTAATTTTGGTCGGAAATCATTGACGTAGACACCGGTTGTTCTACATGGCATGGCTAGTGCTAAAGTGTATAATTTTTAATAATATTTTACTATTTTTTCAAATTTTATTTATTATTATTATTTTTATTTATCTTCCCTTCTTCCTCTAGCTGGCTGCCGGGCCTCGACAATAGGCCAGAGGCGGGCCGGTGAGGTCAACCTCATTGGCCTCTGGTGAAGCTTGCCCCTGTCGACCACTGGTGAGGGGGAGCCTTGCCTGCCCTTGGCAAGGTCGACCTCGCCGTTGGTGGGAGAGGTCTAGTCTTGCTAGGGAAGGAAAAAAAAAAGAAAGAGAAAGAAAAGAACAAAAAAGTAAAAAAAAAAAAAAAATATTACTAGAAATTATCCACGTCAGCACTGGTCGAGCCATGTATGATGGTTGGCATCCACGTAAGAGATTTTCGGGCAAAATTGGCTGGATGGACTCAATTGGCATAATTAAAAGTAGGGGTGAGTGGTTCTCAGTCCGATCCGGTCCAACCCAAGAACTGGAAACTGGATCGGGAGGACCGGTTCCCAGTTTCTAGGACCGGGGATCGGACCGGCTACTAGCCGGCGACTAGTCGTGGGACCGTAGACCGGTTCCAATGGGACCAATCGGACATGCATTTCACTCAAGTGCCATTGAATCTGGGCTCAATTCATTTCTCCATCTCGTTTTCGAGTGTTTTCCTGGTTTTCATACTAGTAAGCAAAGGAAAAGCCGAGCTATTCGTCGGATCAATTAATCTTTTTTTCTCCATAAGTCATATGGGAAAATCACGTAAAATCGGCAATAGATTGTGACTGACGTATTTAAAGAACGCGATTAATCAAGGAAAACTAGCATCTATTAATAGTTGGCCGACCGTTCTCTGTTCTCATCTTGCACTTCAGCTTCGGTTGAAGCCATGTGCATTGAAAATTTTTCAGCTTATTTTCACCTTTTACAAGAGGGTCCATAAAAGCAAACTGTTGAAATGTGTCGGTCCGGTCCAGTCTAGTTCCCACCCTAGAATCGGGAACCGGACTGCCCGGAAACCGGTTCTACTTTTAGGAATCGGGACCCGGACCGATATTCCTTAGAACTGGACCGAACTGGTTTATCCGGTCCGGTCCCGGTTTGGCGATCCATCTTGCTCACCTCTAATTAAAAGGTTTATGATTAAATTGATCAAAGTGCAATAGATTTGAAACTTTTTAGGTAATTTTTCCCGAACCATAATACTAGACCCAAAAATCTGCAATTTGCTCAAATGATCCATCTTCGTAAGTCACTCCAATATAGACTGATGTCACGTCCTCATGCAACCCTTTTGGCTGGTGTGCCAACGTCTTATTTTTCATCAATATTTGCTTGACATTCATTATTTGGTGAAGACAATACGCAAAAGCAATATAACTACACATGCACATGCAGGACCCCGCAAAAATTTAATTGTTTCTTCACTCGATCAATGTTGTCACTATCCTTGCTTCCAAAGTTTGGTGCGAGAGGTCCGACCAAAAAAAAAAAAAAAAGTTTGGTGCGAGACATTAATTCATGTGGGAATATAGAATTTCGTTTTATCTTGACTTGGTCACTCAAGCTAGTCAAGCATATAGATATACGAAAACATTTCATATTCACGGGAAAAAATTGGGTCGGGTCAGGTCCAGTACGGGTTGCGAAGTTGTATTACATAAAAATGAGTCAATTTAGGCAGAGCAATTTCTGGCCAATCTGTTTCATAGATCTAATGGAAAACATTCATAAATTTCTTTCGGCATTTCGAAATTTATATTATCCCGATACGAGGGTCGATCTATCCAGTTATTAGGTCTAATGCTTTTTGAAAATTTTAATTTCTGTGAACGATAATTGATAAATATATAAATATATACGCATATATAATGGAATTAATTTCTCTTTCTCACTCATTGTCTTTAAGCTGTGGGTGGAATTTTGTCTGTTCATGGGTTGGCTCGCTGGAACCCGTGATTCGCGGTGGAACATATTCTCAGTCGCGCCTTCATTATTGAAGGCATCCTAGGGATCCGCACATCGAAACTTGATTACGAATTAATGTTTGGACATTTGTAGTTTCGGATCGACTGGTCATTGCTAAAGAATGTGGACTATCTATTGGGTATTTTTAATTTTGGATGGTTTGATTTGACGCATTCAGTAGTAACGATTGGCTTCCCGGTCATCGATTGAGTAATGATGAGTATTATATTGCCAAAATTTTTTGGTTGTATACGAATTAATGTTTAGAGTGGTTATGAAAAATCAAAGGGTTGTGTTAACATAGACCATAATTACATCTCATTGTCGCAATTGCTTTCTAAGACAGGTGATTGACGGCTGTGATCCTCGAGCAGAGATCTTCTCTTTTTAAATACGGTGCTTTCGCTAGAAATATAAGCACGATTGGGTCGAGGATTGGAGAAGATGAAAGGGAAGGGGAGAGCATTGGGATTGAAAGCTTCAAGTCAAGTGAAGCATCTACATTTGGCCGTCGGCCGGACGCGTACGACACATTGAGCGAATAAGATGCGGGAAAAGGGAAAGAGTGAGAAAGAGGAAGGGGAAGCCATGGCTTCCTTCCTTCTCTGTTATCTCCTTAATGTTTTCTCCCTAAGAAAGAGTGACGCGGCAGTAGGAAGTTACTATTAGTAGAGTACTGAACAACACTAAAACTATGTAAACTCTTGTTTGCGTCCATGCTCAATTGTATGACTGATCGAAATTCTCACACTGATTTGCTTTTCCATAAAGGAAAAACCTTCGCCAACATTCTCAAAGGAGTCGAGTTTTAGCCCTCCATCGGCTTCACGAGATGTAATGCCCTATGGCTTGGCCGGACCGATCAAGCTAACCCCAAATGGAGTTGCATGAAATTAGGCATAATTCATAGATCTTACGTAATTAAAGCTCCTCATTAATATTCTCGAATTGGTTAATCACATGTACGAACAGGATCTCCCGTTATTACGCTCAACCACTATAGTAATCTTACCTTTATGAAACCCATCATCATCAATGCAAGCTTCACTTGTGCCCCTCGAACATGGGGATGATTACCTCTTCGGGAGATGACAATGCAAAGAAGAGACAAAACCCTCAGACAACATCCCCCCATGATCCAACGCATCATTTTGAACTCAAATAATTGTCCTCGACTCGATCCTCCTATCATTTCTCTCATCACGGGTCATGCGTGGTTAGAGCGAGAGAGAGAGAGAGAGAAATCGCCGAATCACAACAAAAGTCCCACCCTCTCCCATCCTCCCTTGTCTCTCTTCCCTCCAAACCTAGCCAACCTGTATCCTCCCATGACAGCCCAATGATCCCCCGCCAAGTGGCGCCCTGCCCCCACACCCCTCCCCGGGTCGCACACCCTTTTGAGTTTTGATCATAATGGCTCAAAACCCCACCAGCACTCCCCCTAAGCTGAAGCTCAAGAAAGATAAAGAAACGATCGACACTCTCCACCACGGCTAAGGGATGTTCAGGAAAAGGCATCATTTCTTGATCATTAGCATGGTGTCTCCTTGGCTCGTGTCGTCAGCAATCATTGTGTCCCTCGCCGCTCTGCCCTCGCACTCCCTGCCTTCCGGGCTCGGCCCGGCGACGCTGCCCGCCACCGCGATCCCGTCCTCGCCCGCCCTGTCGTCGGAACCTCTCGTGCCGCCTTTCCAAGAGCTCTCGCCGGACATCGCCCCGCTCCTGCCCTCCCCGGGGGGCTCCGCGCCGGCCTCCGGCGGCTCCTCCTCCATGCCCACCATCCCTTCCACCCCGAGCCCGCCGAACCCGGACGACGACCCTCTCGGCCTGGACTCCGCGGTCGCGCCGGAGAGCTCGTTCATGGCTTCCTTCGCAATCACCGCAAAGCCAATTGAGGCCATGAATGTGGTGGCATTGTCTATTTGGGCAGCATTTTGGGCAATGCAGCTTCTGAAAATGTGAGCTTCTTCTTTTTTCTTTTTTCTTTTTTCTTTTTCTCTTTTCGGGTAATTACTAGGAAAATTAAATTGATATGGGCATGGTGGGTGCGCACCAGTTCATCGAAAGCGATGACATTCATTACTTTTATAATGTAATTCAGATTTCATGTACATTTACTCCCTCTTTTGTGCAGTAATTTGCTCTTCTTTTAGAAACAAAAAAGTTCCACGGTATTTGTCGAATCACATACTTCTTTTTCGAGTCTATTTTTAGTCGCGACGAGGCGGCGTCGGGGCTAATTTTCGGGCACCCACCCGATTAGGTCCGCCTGTATCGTCAAAGAAACCGAATCCGAGATTTCGCGGTTCTCGAGGAAAAATTTGCATTTCGTGGTAAAATTTTTGCTAAGATTCCTGAGGGTCATTTTTTGGGGAGCAGGGGGAAAGCGAGGGTGAATTAGGTGACCGGATAAAGCAGGGGAAATCAGTCGGTCACATGTGGGGATTACCTAATCAAAGTGGTTTTGGTGCAATGATTAGAGCGATAATTCAAGGTTTGGGTAACTGGATTTGACCGTGATTTTATCTATCAATATTTATACTTTAGGTTTTAGAAAGGAGTCGGTGGTCATGTGATCCAATAAGGATACTATGACTTAGGTGCCTAGTTGCATTATTGCACGGGCCAATGGAAAATGTCATGTGAAAGAGCTAGCGGTAGGAACACAATGTGGGGGTGTGTGTGTGTGTGTGACCGTAGGTTTAGAGGATCACGAGATTACCCGAATTCTCTCTCTCGATCTCTCTCGATATTCCAAAGGCACTGGTGCGGAAATCCGATTACCTGAATGCTCACAGTACCCTACAGCAAGTCGAATAAATCCGCTACGATCAGCCTTTGGCCTGTGTAGGTGGCTCTGAGCTCGGAACAGTTTGTACCCAATTGATGAGATATCAACGAGTGGCTGCCCAGCTAAGACTAGCCTTTGGCCTGTGCAGGAGGCCCTGACCCAGAATGGCTTGTATGCAATTGATGAGATATGAATGGGTAGCCTTTAATTTCGAGACTCGATGTCTTAACTAACTGCACCAACCTTAAAGGTCACACGATTTACTATAGTCTGTTTTTTTGCTCTTTAAAAAAATTTACAAACCATTTAAAGGAGAAATCATCTCAAATCTAAACCGATGGTGAGAAGAATAGAATCTTATCCTCCGTCGCGGCATATGCCTCGTTCGGTTATTCAAGATGGATGCTTTTTATCTTTCGCTCTCCTCTTACCTTTTGTGTCAAAATGGGCATTCGATTCGTATCATATTATTTGTTTTGAAGAGGAGTTGTGAGCAAGCAGTCATAGAAGGTCCAGTTGTGAGTGAAACATGCAATGGCATTTGCATGTCGAAAGAGGAGGAGAGGACAGGGCAACCGCAAGCATTTCATTGCACTAGTGCCGCTTGTTAAGCTGACTATCATATGGTCAAAGGCAAAATTGTGCTTCGAGTCTCGTCGGCTCAGGTCGGAGTCCAAGCAAGTCTAGCCGCTCGAAACACGCCGACCATTGTAGCATTAAGACATGAGAAGGGTTTCAAATGAGTTCCAAAGGCCTACGGCTCATGACATGCTTGACGAACACGATGCCAACGGATGCTGATGAAGGAAAAGACAACCCAATGCACAAGCAGCAGAGTTCCATTTCAGGCCAAAAATAATAACTTAGGATGAAAATCCCATGCAAAACTTGCAAATATATCTAGTAAGTAGATAGTCCTCAACATGGCAAAGCCACACAAGAGTCACCAACAACATCATCTTCATAAGAGTACTTGGTTCTTAGGGGAGTCTTTAAAGCTAATTCTTAAGCAGCATCTTTCCCAATGAGCTTCTCAATCATATCAGCAGCCTCTTGGACAGTGGTGATGCTCTGAGCACTCTCTTCCTCCACGCTGATCCCGAATTCCTCCTCAAGCCCCATCACAATCTCCACCTGAACCAAAAGAACTTGTGAGCCACGAAAAGCTATCATGATAGAGCCCACACATTACATATATACGCGTAAAGGACGGATTTTTCACCATAACTTTCTTCTCCGAGAGGAAATCTCATTGTAGAGTACTGTAGCATTTCGAGGTATGAAAACAACCTACGCTTGACAATGATCTTTTTAAGATTTGATTTTGACCCTTGAGTATGTAAGTTACGCTTCCTAATTAAGAACAGAACGAACTATTGGAGTTGTCCAAGAGACAATTATGGGCCGCAATCAACGCAATGCAACGATCAATTTTATAGCCATCCAATGCCACGGGTTTCTAGTCTCTCAATATTTAAGTGACCACTTCACTAATTGTCCAACAATGAGTAGACGTCTCTAAGGGGAGCGCAAGAAAGCTAATGTTAATGCCCGCATGATGCAAGCAATGAGCACGACGAGTGTCGGGATGAAACGGTGCCAATGGCATTGATGTTCACCAAAAAGGTTGAAGGGATCATGCTTAATTCTATTTCAGAATTAAAGCAAAGAAACCATGTTGGAAGTTAGTAGAGAGGTACCGTATCAAGAGAATCAGCTCCAAGTGCCGCAAACTTAGACTCTCCTGTAACCGCAGAGTCATCCGGCAGCGCCAACTGCTTCCTCACTATTGCACAGACCTTGTCCACTGTCTCGGGCTTGGCCTGACAATACATAGATATTTCGAAATCTCACTAACAGCAACATCAATGAACCGATTCGCATGAACACAGGATTGACAAGTAAAAGTTACTAGATTTCACAAATTTGGAACATAGCCAAAATTACACCAGTGACAAATTAGATATCTACAATCCTCCAAATTGCGGTGACAATGAATATCATTCTCTTTTACTAATAAAAGAGAGGAAAGAGATCATCTAAATCCATGATAAACCCAAAATCTTACATAAGGCTAGGAAATGATGACATACGTATTCCATTTATTTAGAGCATGTGAACAGTGAATTACGTATTCGATTTATTATCATGGCAAGTAGACTATATTGAACCCCCCAATAAAGGCACATGGAAAATGAACAGTAGAAGATGATGCATACCGCACAGAAAACCTGAAGGCGGGATGACCCTTGGCGTGAAACAAGAGACGGATAGCCTTTTGTACTGATGGGTATTGAGACTGATCTCAGACTTGAGATTCCGCTGTTTGATGGCTACAAAAAGCATCGGACAAGAAAAGTAAATTTATAGAAGATAAAGCCATACCTCTCACATGCATAGATTAATCCACGCTTAGCAAAAAAGAAAAAGAATAATCCACAAACAACAAGATAAGTCTAACATAGAGCCATAGATATAAGTCTTGCTGGCTCCAGTTAGCCACTAAAATCATCGGCAACCAAAAAAGAACAGGACACATATAGTACCAACAAGTAAGGACTAGCACTTCACCAAAATTTTGTCCTGAAGCATTTGTCTAAAGCATGAGCCCCCAGATTCGTCACAACAGTCAGCTAAAATGTGTTGAGGTTCATTAGACTCTATGTCATGTCAAGGATGGCACTTAAAACAAGAATCTGACCATGCTAACAAAAGCTATTTAATAGAAAATTTAAGATGGTATTGCCAATTGAAAGTTGCATTCCATGAACAAAACCATTTCTTTTTTAAGTGCCAATGCACACAGCAAATCATCAGCATCAGCTACATAAAACTCCTAGCCCATTTCACGATTGGAGAATTCACCTAGACTTACGTACAATTGTAGCTGTTGCTAGTAGACATTGGCACAAAAACGAAGATTTCGCTACCAAGGGCAGAGGATGAACAAGTCTCATGCAGCACAGGCTCCAAAGATGATAGATAGCTCAACGTGCCAAGCCAATCTTGGTCTCATGAAATTATTTATCCAATAGAATCTATCCTCTCTCATGTCATGTACCAAGAAATATCTCCGGACCATATGACTACTAATCTTCATCTACATGCCTAAAAATATTCTGGGTCATCCTAAAGTGCAACAAAACATAAACCACTAATCACGGCTAAAGTAAACAACAATTATCGTGAATATTTTATAAGCACTTCAAGAATAATCAGTAATCCCCCATGCAAACATTTCGATTCATAAGACAAACTCTTGATTTTTGGGTGAAATAGGAAATCTTTTTTGTTCCTTTATTAAAAGTCCAGCACATTTCCAGCCGCCAAAATCTCATATTAATAATTTCGAATCTTGATACAGCGTAACAAGCGGGCTCATCTACAACAATATCCACGGACAACGTAGATCAGAGACAGAGAACAAGAATCGCCACCCACTGAATCTAAGAAACAGCGACACAAATCGAAGATATCGATCTGAAACCAAGCTCATCCACACCAACAGATAAAAATCAAAGCTTTCGACACAAAGAGCAGCGAATCTCGCCACGAAACAACAGATCAACTGATACCCGGAAAAAAATAAGGACAAATTAATACCTGGGTCTGCTTCAAAGAGCACGACACGAGCTTCATGCGGAGGGAGGTTCCAGCAGCAGACGCCATCGATTCGAACCAAGAAACGACACGGAGGGAAAAAACAAGAATTGGAATCAAGAAACGATATACCCAGAGAGCGAGAGGAAGAGATCTGAGATTCCTGAAAGATGAATCGCGCTAAGGTATAGAGAGAGAGAGAGAGAGAGAGAGAGAGAGAGATGCAAAATGAGAGAGCTATATAAGGAAGAGGGTGTGTCGTGCTGGGTTGTCCCTTGTAGGGCAGCGTTCGTTCGTGCGTTGTTGAGAATCGTTGGCTACACACTGCAGACACTTGGCTTGTACCCTGTCTTCCTTGTTCGTATCGAATTGGGAGTGTTTGGATTCGGATTTTTCTGTGTCCCGGCTCCGGGTTTGAGTTATTCCGACACGGTTTGTGTTTACTGTTTGGTGCAGTGGGGAGGGAAGTTGGGAAAAAAGGGGGATTAAACCAAGATATCATAATTGATGGTGACGATGATGAAGGGAGTTCGATTTCTCACATTTTTAGAGCATTAGAGGTGGGGACGTTTAGTTTCAGATATGAGTTTCGACTCTTACGCTCTATAAAAAGGTAAAGCAAAAGTTTGAGAATAAATTGAGAGTCAGAATAAGATAGACAAAACGAAAAAGAAAAACAAGATATCATAATTATCACTGTGTATTTGTGTGTATTTGTCAATTGTCATTGCCCATGGGAATGAAATGCTGATTATAAGGGAAATTACAAAAGCAATCCCTGTG